CAGACTGGCTCCAGGAATCAACACGGGCCGTGCCCAGCATGCCCACCCTCAACCCCACCTGGGGTTTTGAACAAACCTCTTCTGCCCATGCCAGCTTGTCCAGCACAGACTATGCCCCCGGATTATTCCACAGGAGCCCCCCCCGCACTCACCAGCTCTGTCCTGGGAGCAGCCCGGGGTCTCCAGGAGGTGCAGGGGAGGATGAGGTGGGCAAAGCCAGCCCCTGCCAACTTGGCCTCCCCAAGCAAGGGTCCACAGAGGGGCTGCTGCTAGTGGGCCCTGGGCCCTCGGCCGTCACAGGAGGAAACCTCACCCTTGTGCCCCTGAACTTCCCTCAGGTTACATCTGTGGTGGACACTCCTCAATGAATCTTTCATGTCCTGGGAAAATTAATAACCCATCCCCATACGCCAGAGTTTTCTATGAAAGTCCTTTTTTTTAAAAATTGAGATGAAATTCACATTGAAGGAAATCACCACATTTAAGTGAACAATTCCGTGGCATGTGGTACCTTAGTGCTGTGTGACCAGCACCCTATCTAGTTCCAAAACACGTTCTCCTCCCCGCAAAGGGAAACCTAAGCCCATCCCTCCCTGGGCGCCTGGCACCCACCACTCTGCTCTCTGTCTCTGTGGATTCGCCCGTCCTGCACATCTCACATAAAGGCAATCGTACGATATGCGACCCTTTGTGTCTGGCTTCTCTCACTTACCTACTATTTCCAAGATGCGTTCATGCTGTGATGCGTATCAGAGCTTCAACCCTTTTCGTGGCTGAAGAAGAACCCAGTGCATGAGGAGACCACGTTCTGTGTATCTGTTCTTCTGTGGATGTTTCCACCTTTGGCTCTTGTGAGTCATGCGGCCGTGGACATTGTGCGCGTTCTCATCTGTACACCGGTTTGTAAACCTTCCGGGTACATACATGAAGGGCCTGCTTTACACTCACGGTTTTTCTTTTTTCTTTTAAAGATTTTATTTATTTATTTGAGAGAGAGAGAATGAGAGAGAGCACATGAGAAGGGGGAGGGTCAGAGGGAGAAGCAGACTCCCTGCGGAGCAGGGAGCCCGATGCGGGACTCGATCCAGGGACTCCAGGATCATGACCTGA